TGCTTTTATCCAATAATAATTCATTGAGACGTATCGATGGATTATTTTTTATTATCATGAAACAATGTCTAAATTTTTAACATGCTTGTAAATTAAAAATGTTTGGTTTCATATATATAATATAAGAAAAAATGCTTATAGTTATATAATTTAAAACATAAGAATTTAGATTTCTTCATATTAATGAGATAATCGATAAAGCCATCAGTCATATTGAAATGTTATAATATGAATATTTTATACTTAAATATATATATATATATATATCTCATAGTAGTAATAGTTAAATTCAAATTAAATAATTGGAGTATAAATGATTGAATTTAGATAGTTATATAAGAAAAATACATCAATTGGTGCAAGCCACTTGGCTTAACAAACTATATGTATAGTGCTTGACTACATAAACTACCTTAATTAACTAATTATATTTATTAAAAATATCTCAGTTAGTCAATTTAATTATTTTTGTTTGCTTCATTCATTTTTAAGTCATCCTATATATTTAATTTCTTTACATTTTTAAGGTACTAGTACTTAATGGTACTTTGTAAAGCTCACTCAATGTTTTTTTGGAAATACATCTTCAGATAGAATCTAGATATTTGGATATTATGATGTTTAGATTTTAAAGTAATGAATGAATATATATATTATATATATATATATATATATATTGTATATATATATGTATAAGCTTTCTTTTTCTTCGAATAGGGTTTTCTGAACATCTTTTTAGTTATATACCTAATTTTAACCCAAGGCTTACAATTTCAATTGGATTCTACTAACGGATCAACTTAATGTTGTTTTTTATGATCGTATGTGATATTTACAAACGATCTCCATTTTCAGTTGTTTATTGGAGAAACTGTTCTTCCGATAAATAGCTCAGACACAACTGAACACCAGCGATTCGTGTAAGTGTGGTAGTAGGAACGCAAAAACAGTATTTCTTGACATATTTGATTTTCTTTTATTGAAAATTATTTTTGTTTTTCGTTTCAACAGCAAATAACCACAGTTTAAAATTCAATTGGTGGGATAGCCAACATCTTCAGAGCCTGCGATATAAGCTTTACATACTTTGCTCTAATAAAAATTAGTACTCTTCTTAAACATGTGATTAATAAAAACATTGGTTGATCATTTTTCAGGCATTTTGATAATTTGGTGAATATTGATTTTAGTTGACTGTTTTTTTGTGTTCTCTAATACCATGCCGTGGGTTTAAATATTTCTGCATTTTAACAATTCATGCAAATTACTGATGGAACTTGAGTAAAATGTATATTATTGCAGATAGTTTTATATGTAATGAATTATATCGCTGATCACAAATGTTCATTTTGTCTGTTGCTTGTTGTCTGTACGCTTAAACTTAACAAAAATATCTGAATATTTTATCAAATTCTGAATCATCTTTTCATACTTTTACATTTTTTGTCAGCCATAATTCTATATGTAAAATAAATTAAAAATCCCTGCAATGAAGTCTGATGCTATCTATGAAACAATAGCTTCTAACAGATGGATTATAAAGATATCATTCAAATTCTAAGAATATCGATTCATTTTCTTATAATTGGAATTGGACAGCTTCTAATTTCCTTTATGACATAAGGCACAAACAATTTAAAATAAGAAGTGATGTATTTTAGTCTTCAGATTTCAAACTTTTTTAACTTGTTACTGTTTTTTTTATACATTTGCAATTTCTTTATATATATTATTCACTATAGTTGATATAGCCAAACGCTTAAATGTGTATTCTAGTCTAGCAGTTGTAAGAAATCGTTTTTTTTTAAATATTTTTAAAGTTTAACTATTTAAGAATATGTGTGCAAGAGGATTTTTTTAAATCTAAATTATTTTCAGAGATATTTATGTTTGACCACAATAATCTTCTTCCGTTTCCTTCCTTTGCGAGATTTTCAACACGATACCCACGATTTCTCCACTTCTACTGGACCGATTTATTTGAAATTTTTACAGAGTTCTCTTTATAGGTTTCTCATTAGTAAAAATTGCTCATCCCTAAATTTAAATTTTCATCATCTTTAAACAACTTGGGCATATCAAGTTGTAAAATGAAAATAGTTATAACAGAAAAAGTGGCATTCTTTTCCAGGCTGTCGCTATTTTGTGAATTTTTTTTCTTGGCAGTGATTCATACGAATGTGACATTATTCTAGATTATTTTTTGTTTTTTTATTTATCAGAATATTTGGAGGGTTAAAATCAGGTGTATGGTTACATGGCAATTTTTTAGACTTTCTACTTTATCATCTGCTTTTAGACTATTAATTTGGATTTTTTTTTGGGTTCCTAAAACATTAAACTATCACTTACAAAAAAATGTATAGTAAACATATTGTTTGCCTTTTTTACATCCTGACAAAAGTCACATAGACTAAAATGGTTATAGACTAAAATACCACCTTAATATATGTGCCTGGCTTTACTATCACACAAATAGTTTTTTCATTTGATTTCATCATTCCAATAAATATCTCTTTATATAAAAAATCTCCCTATATACGTTTTGTGTGATATCGACTTCTCTTATTTATCTTTCATTAATTGATTACAAAAAACTTTTTGCCATATTTTTGTTTCTTAATCGAATTGTCCCAAGCAAAGTATTAAATTAAAAAATTATACAAATTGACAAATGTATAACACCACGAGTTAGGGATCGTTCAAGTATTACGTAAGCAGATTTATTACAATTATTTACCCCCTCTTCCCCTTGTCAGCAAAAGTAAGCAAAGCTCTTACCCCCATGCTTAGGTAAAAATTTTGTAATTAATGTAAAAAATAAAAATACTAGCTATGACGTAATCATCATCCAGACTCTCCTGCCCCCCATGTCAACCCAAAATAGGCAAATCAACACCCCCCGCCCCCCTATAGTGCTTACGTAATACTTGAACGGCCTCTAATGTTTTTCAAAACGTTATGCTATGGGGGCGTCCATTAATCACGTGAGCGAGTTTTTGAAGATTTGTGGACCCCCCCTCCCCCTTGGTGATTCATGGTGATATTCAAAATTTCCCCCCTCCCCCACCAAACATAACGTGTATTTTCAGTTACATGATAAAACTGTATTTTTTTTAATTTGGGATCGTTCAAGTATTACGTAAGCAGATTATTACTATTATTAACCCCCTCCACCTTCCCCTTTGTCAGCAAAATTAAGCAAAATTCTTACCGAAAATGCCCAAAATAAGCAAATCAAAACCCCCCCGCCTTCCTGTAGTGCTTACGTAATACTTGAACGGCCCCTTTTTTTGAAAATGTTAGTTTTTTTTAAAATCAGTTAAAAAATAAATACACGTAATATCTTACTATACCCCTCCCTCCCCCACGTGATATTTCGTGATTTTTTGTCAGACCCCCCCTCCCTCTAAAAACCTCACGTGATTAATGTCCCATACATATGTTTGTTTCTTAATCGAATTGACAAATGTATAATACCACGAATTACTCCTAATACAGTATAACCCGAATATAAATTATTTTATTAATATTGTGTTATAGATTGTATTATAAAATAGATTTATTATGATTTATTTATATAGGTATTCCGCACACGGACACCGAGCGAGGCAATAAACCTGGTGTCCCGGTTATTGGAATACACTCCTGGTGCTCGCATATCACCGCTGCAGGCGTGCGCGCATCCGTTCTTCGCGGAACTCAGAGAAACGACAACGCGCCTGCCGAACGGCAGGGAGCTGCCGCTATTGTTCAACTTCACTGAACAAGGTAAGGAATTAGATCTAGTAGGACCCAGTTAAGTAGATCTTGCTTAATACGATTTTTTGGATAATACGCCACTGAACATTGATCCCTGAAATAACAAGTAAGAAATAATATACAGTAGGACCCAGTTAAGTAGATCATGCTTAATACGATTTTTTGGATAATACGCCACTGAACATTGATCCCTGAAATAACAAGTAAGAAATAATATACAGTAGGACCCAGTTAAGTCGATCTTGCTTAATACGATTTTTGGATAATACGCCACTGAACATTGATCCCTGAAATAACAAGTAAGAAATAATATACAGTAGGACCACGTTAAGTAGATCATGCTTAATACGATTTTTTGGATAATACGCCACTGGACATTGATCCCTGAAATAACAAGTAAGAAATAATATACAGTAGGACCCAGTTAAGTCGATCTTGCTTAATACGATTTTTTGGATAATACGCCACTGAACATTGATCCCTGAAATAACAAGTAAGAAATAATATACAGTAGGACCACGTTAAGTAGATCATGCTTAATACGATTTTTTGGATAATACGCCACTGGACATTGATCCCTGAAATAACAAGTAAGAAATAATATACAGTAGGACCCAGTTAAGTCGATCTTGCTTAATACGATTTTTTGGATAATACGCCACTGAACATTGATCCCTGAAATAACAAGTAAGAAATAATATACAGTAGGACCACGTTAAGTAGATCATGCTTAATACGATTTTTTGGATAATACGCCACTTTACATTGATCCCTGAAATAACAAGTAAGAAATAATATACAGTAGGACCCAGTTAAGCAGATCATGCTTAATACGATTTTTTGGATAATACGCCACTGAACATTGATCCCTGAAATAACAAGTAAGAAATAATATACAGTAGGACCCAGTTAAGTAGGTCATGATTAATACATCTTTTGGATAATATGCCACTTTACACTGATCCCTGCAATAACAAATTAAATGTTTTAATTGCATAGTGTTGTGCAGGAGTGAGCAACTTTTTTATTTATTGACTCCATTTATTGGTTAAATTTAAATATTAACTAGTGGGGTGCATGGCATTTTGCCTTAAAGCAAATTGCTCGAACTTTCCGTACCGTAATTAGAAATCTTGGCACGGAACCCTACAAAATTTACACAAAATGTGTACACATTATTAAAATTTTTATAAAATATCTAATAATTTGAGGTACATATGTTCAATAGACATTTTTGACCGCCAAATGACATTTTTTTTAGCTTATTTTTATTGAGAATCCGTAACCGCTGGACCTGCCTTCCCAAAAATATAATCATTTGTTCATCTTGTCAATACAAGTAAAATGTTTTTTGAATTATTAAAATTGGACGCTACGTTCTCTTAAAAACTGAGTTACCTTTTGTGGCACTTTTTGCCCCGTATCTTTGAAACGGCTAGACTTGCCTTCGCCAAAAACTAATCAGAACGTGTCTTTATCAATATGAATGAAATGTTTTTTGAATTATTCAAATCGGTTGATCGGAGTTTCCGAAATCGTCGACGAAAATTTGTATCCGCATACACACATACACATATACATCCATTTTTTCTAAGGTATGCCAAAATGTTCAGAAGGGTTTGAAACGTAAAGATGTTACAATTAATAGAATTCTATCTTGGAAATGCTTGGTAGGTTGCAGAAAAATATTCAAAGTGTACCGGTTGCTCTTTCTTTGCATACATACAATATTTTCACTCCATGGATTGTTGTTATTGCAATTATTTTTATTATTATAAGCAAATTGCTCGATGATAAACTGTAAAAAAATTAAGTCATTTTAACCTTCATGTCATGAGGCAACAAAAAATACCAAAATATGTAACTTAATAAATAATTAAAATTACTTATAGTTTGATTATCCTTATATTAAAAATGGTGATATCAATGATCCATGATATGACAACCGCATAACACTACATTATACATTAAAAACTTTGAAATTGTTATATTTATATAAATGTATATCACTATTTAACTAAGAGAACATTTTTTTAATATGTATACTAACTAAGGACTTGATGATAAAGTAATTTCAAAAACATTTAGACATATTTATTCGAAACAAAACTCAAAAGTCAACTATTTGTATCTCAAAGGAGGATGAAATAAGATTGCGTTCATTTATTGCTTTTTCTCTATAAAGATGGATGAAACAACATTCTGAAAAATATATTGAAAAAGTTTATATTTTATAGGTTAAAGGTTGGTGTGTGTATGCGTCCTGCCAGCATAGTTTTAAATCGTTTAGGATTTTTGAAATTTTAGCTAGCTACACTAATCAATATTCAATCACAATCGAGCAATTAATTTGATAAACCAGTTTCATAAGCCGTTCGATATTGAAAGAAGTTTCAATAAAGGTAGTATTCGTGGTTCAATTCAATTTCTAAGCTATAAAAAAGATATTTTTTATAAGGAAAGAATAGATTTTATATATCCCTGTAGGTCCAGTCGGTTAATATTTTCAATATTTTTTTAGTTTTCTTAAACAGTTACGCAGTTTATTAGTGTTCACATTCTTTTACTATCTTTAATGTAATAAATTAAATTAAATTAAAGATCCTTTATAATATCCTATGAAGAGTATTAAAAATTGTAGCCTAAGAAAACTGGTAGTAAATATATTCTTTCTGTAGTGAAATAAGAGGCTTTGCAAACAGGAATTTTACATCAGTAGGGTGACATATTTTATCAATTCTTTGTTAAGTGCCTCAATAATGTGATTTTCTTTATCACTTAAAATTTATTGACTTGGACTATTTATTCATAAATATCATATCCATTGTTTATACATATAGAAATTATTTGTACCTTTTACATATTATTTGCAATATACCTTTTTATATATTATTTTAAAATAGATATCTGGAAGCATATACCCAAAAAGTGTGAATTAAAAGAAATTTTAAAATAAAAATCCTATTTGCAATTTTGCACTAATATAATTTCAAAAGAGTTTTTATTCTGGACTTTTTTTGTCTGTTCATTGTATAAACTCTCAAACCCCTTACTAGCAATTAAGCGCGTACAAACGTGTTTATAACTGCTGAACGCAATAATTTAAAATAGTAGAGGCTAAAATTTAATAATTGCATTTTGAAAATTAAGCCCTCGATCTTATTCCTTGCTGTTTAAATTAAAATATCTATTAATCATTTGTCTTCTTCCAGAACTGTCCATACAACCCAGCCTGAACTCCGCCCTATTACCTCGCACGTCCGCGGGCCCCACCGGTGGTTCCACCACTGTCTCCTCCACGGCGGATTCGTCAACGGCAGCAGGGAGCGGAGCAGGAGCCGCCGGAGTCACGTCATCTACCGCCGCCGTCGGCACGGCTGATGCCACAGTCACTCCCGCCGCCACCGGTGCCACCAGCAGCGCCGCCGACCTGGCGGTGTCCGCCAGCAGCCGCCAGCATGACGTGACCGCCGCGGCCACCGCCACCGGCTCGGGGATGACTTAGGGAATAGAGGGTAGGAAGGAAATACAGTGAGCGGGATGAGAATCAAGTAGTAAAATAGATATACAAGACGCGATGTGTAATAGATATATAAATGAAAATATAACAAACAAAACAAATACACGTACATACATATATTATATATATTTATGCAAATTATTTTATAGTTGTTTGTACATTTTTAGTTTTTTAGTACACTATATACATGCTCATTATTAATACAAATTTGTCTCTGAGTTGTTGATATTTTGTTCTTGCAAGTAAGATTTTAAAGTAGTGCATTTAAGCTTAAGAGAACCTTCAAATTTTTCTTCAAAGTTTTCACACAAAATGCTGCCACTAAAAAGAATTAACTATTTACTATGAATTCTTTTCAACTTCTAGAGAAAGTACTTACTTTAAGTAATGAATGATATCTTTAGCATGACCACCTTCGAATGATCATGTTCAATATAATAATTTTTCTCGGAATAAAGAGTCATAAAAATGGCTCATAATGATTTATTCATTATGCATAGGTACATATATACATGTGTATATATATATATATATGTATATATATGAATAGATAAATATGTGTACATGTATATATATATATATATATATATATATATATGTGTGTGTATATATATGTATAGTAAAATATATGTACATGTATATATATATATATATGTATGTGTATATATATATATGTATATATGTATATGTATATGTATTTTTATATATAAATATATGAGACATTCTAGAATGAAAATAATGTACTTACATTATATTTTATTTAGTGTTAGTACTAGTTTCGACACAAGATACATTTCATCCATTATAAATCAGATATAATTTTAGTATATTATTTTCAATCAACGTATTGAACTATAAAATGTCTCATATATATCAAGGCTGAAACAAACGTGAAAAATATACATATACATACATATATATATATATATAACAAATGTATTCTGAGTGGATAGATAGATATTAATTTAGAAATATGAACAAACAACACTCTTTTTTTTGCTCTAAGTTATTAAATAATAATTTCACAAACGTTTTGAGACAAGGTTTGTCTCATCAGTGTGTTATGAATTTAAAATCTAAAATATGAAAACCTATATAAGCATTATGTGTTATCCATTACACGTCGTTCACTGTGCTGCCACTGTATCCAGTACAGTAAACGACATGTAACGGATAACACATAATGCTTATATAGGTTTCCATATTTTAGATTTTAAATTTATAACACATTGATGATGAGACAAACCTAGTTTCAAAACGTTTGTGAAATTATTATTTAATAAATTAGTGCAAAAAAAAGTGTTGTTGGTTCATATTTCTAAATTAATTTATATATATATATATATATATATATATATATATATATATAATAGTAAGTTCTTCATAGATGTTTACTAATTACGTTTCGGAACTAAATAGGTTCCATCAACATGTTTTTCTGTCAAAAAATAATTTTGTTTACAACATTATTGATAAAAAATTTGATGATAACATAAAATTACAATGTTTCACCATATTCATTTAATATTATTTATATTGATATGATATATTATATCATATTGATATGATATATTATATTATATTGATATGATACATTATATTATAATGATATGAAATATTATATTTAAAAAGGTTTTTAAATTCATGTAGTCATCAAACTATTTATCAAAATAAATATATAAAAAAAATTTTTTTAAATAAATGCCTGATGATGGAATGTATTTAGTTTCGAGAACTAGTTATAAAACATGTATAAAAAACTCATGGGTTTTCAATTTATTGGGATTAATCATTTGGCAAAAGAAACATAAAAGGATTTATTGGATAATTCAGGATTATATATGCAAAATTATATCACGTAAATTTTTTGGTTAGTGAACAACATATGATATTCTCATCCGGTTGCCAAATTCTTGTAAATTATACGTCTATCTATTACAACTTGCAAGAATGTCGTTTAAGATTATTATGAGATCTTCATAAATATTTCCTGAAGATTTAGTGACTTTCTGTGATACAATATTTAATTGTATGAAATGACCAACATTTTTATAAAAAGTTACAATTGGCAAAGTATCAATGAGTTTTGAGTAATGCGTCTAAAAGTGAGTGTTAACACAAATTAGCAGAAAATATTATCTAACAGAATTTAGTAAATTCTTAATAATATTATTAGGAAAGATAACAAATAATGTTACAAATTAATTAAAAATCTTTTAAGACTTTCTGGGGCTTAATAAATAGGTGGTGGGCTAAAATTTTAAATGAAGCTCAATGTGATTGTCAAAGTCATTTCTTATAAACAAAATTTTACAAGCATTTTCTGCCTTGCTACATATTTACATTCTCATGTATTTGGATTCATCAAGTATATATATTTTTAATACATAATCATACACATTTATATTATTTTTTTGATTTTTTCTTACTTTTTTAAAAAAACACCAAGAAAAATCTTAAGATCAAGTAGGTTTTTTTTCTACTTCACTGCATATAAAACAATATTAAAATTTTTATTCTATATGAAAATCTCAGCTACGTGTATATGGATTGTTTGTTAGTATGTATGAAATATGTACATATATGCATACATATTTATTTATATATTATATGTATCTATATGTACATATGATGCGAAATGATTATATGCAAGTTACAAATTATGTGTAAACATATGTGCCACATTTTGGCTAATACATATATAAACTGCTATAATATGTTTAGTGCGTTGGCAAAAAATAATTTTAAACCTTAATATATATACATGCAAAGAGTATAAGTTAAGATTTTTGGTAGAAAATAATATCCCAAAATTGTATGTTTATATGAATGACTTTAATCACAAGACACACTAAGCGAATTTTTGTCTCTGCGACTTTAAAAGTTTTGACCTTTGTCAAAGAATACACTGATAATGTGTGCATATATTTATAATTTACAATATATAGCATATGTATATTTATATATGCACACATAAACATATAAATATAGACTTAGAGATAATATTGGAAATTAGCAAATATTAAAATGGATTGAATAATTTGAATTATAAATGATTAAACCTTTGGTAGATCACTAAAATTGCATATTATTATTATTATTATATGTATAAATTAAAAAAGAAATTTATATGTATATGCAATAGATATATTATCACACATTGAAATAATTTCTAATGTCATGAACTAGTTTTTTAAGATCCATTTTGTCGGAATATAATGCAAGTATATATATATATATATATATATATATATATATATATATATATATGTAGCATCAGATTATATGCATGCATACATACATATAATAACAAAGAATTCACAACTTTTTGTTTCATCTTCGATCTCAATGCTGCATCTTCGTTTCTATGACTACAATTATAAGCAGGTTAGTGCATGTATATTGTTGTTAGTATTATATATATATATATATATATATATATATATATGTAGTTCAGCATGTACAAGTGATAAATAATTATGTATCACTTGTAGATACTGAAGTTTTTCTAAAAATATTTAGCTATTACTACATAATTTTTCTTCTATAATACATAAAAATATATAACCATAAATATAAATCTATTATAATTATATTTTTTTTTGTTACAGATACATTATTATCTAAAAATTTGTGTCCAGAATGATTGTCTTCGGATATAACATCCTGAAAAATTAGGATACATTAAACTAGGATACATCTGTTGTAATGGCATGATGTGTATAAAACATTAGAAGATATATGGCTTAGGATCAAGTTTTGTAAACAATATTTATGTACATGTATATATATATATATATATATATATATATATATTATATATATATATATATATATAAGTATACATATGAGTGTACACATGCATGTAACTTGGTACTCTAATTATATTTTGAGAAGAAAATAATGTAAAACATATATAATTCTCTATGTAAGCAGATATGTTTGAATTTGTTTATATATGCATATGCATATGCATATGCATATGTATATATATATATATATATATATATATATATATATATATATGCATACATATTCTCATCCTTTGTAAAATCATATCACCCATAATTTAAAATTGAATTTGTTGCAATATTATTTGCATTTTTATGTATGCAATACATGTAACATGTATGTATGTACGTGTATATGTATTTTAAACAATGCATGCATATATGCTGGTACACACTCATATATGTATTGTTTTAAGATGAGTTTTTAAATGTTTTATTTTAATGTAAACATATTTAATTAAATTACGATGTACAGAATGCGTAATTAAGCCAAGTTGGTTAAGCTCTGTGAAATTATAGTAAATGTGCATATATTTTGTATGTGCTTATGTATAGGTATCGATTTAAAAAAAAGTTGTTTAAGAATGACATGTACCTATATATCAGCACATGCTAAAAAAAATTGTAAATTTAATAATGTTTAATTTTATTAATATGTTTTAGAAATGAAAAAGATATGCATCCTTTTTATATAACTATATGCATATATGTACATATATATGTAAATATTTATATTCAGTGAATGCTCTTGCATATATATGTGTGTATATCCATGTATATTTGATACATTTATGTACCCTAACGTCTTACACCATACACATGAAACACATAGCATATGTCTGTTTAAAATTTATGTTACGTTCTATTGTAGATCGTTAATTTTAATTGTGAACGCTTGTTTTTATTTAAAATTGATGAATATATTATGATTGAAATAGTTTTATGTTAGTTTAATTTTATCATACTAAATTACTCTGATACTTGATCACTGTGTGCAATTATTCTTGGTAATATATTCCTTTTAAAGGAGCTATAAATGATATATATATATATATATATATATATATATATATATATATATCATTGTAAAATTGCTGTCCTGGTCCAATTTCTTAATCTTTCTCACCCACCTCATAAAATGCATAAAGCGTTACTTGAAGAGGCACATAGTTGTTAGTAAATTTATAGAATTAAAATTAACCTAATGGATTTGTACATAGTATATTATATATATTATGTTTCGGCTTTAAAGATTCAGTTATAAACTTATGATATCAAAATGTGTACAGTAGACACAAGCATATGTAGAGATTAGGAATTGTGAATCATACACATATTTGTTTTAATTTGATTGATTTTATGATTAATAAAAATGGGAAAAGTTTATCAATGGTTTTTAGTTTTGAACTGATATTTTCAGAATAGATTGATGATTGATTCATACAACAATATTACATCTATAGAAAAGAGCTGCTCCAAATTAGAGTTTTTGATATTATTCAATATATATTATCGAAATAATTATCATGTGTTTAAAATAAACCGTGGATGGTAGTCCATGGTTTTAACTTGATACCACATTCAAATTGAATAAAATGTGTTTGTTACACAAAACCGCGGTGGGAATATATGAGTGTATATATTGATATATACATCATTATACATGGCCTAGCTGTTCTGGTTTGTATGGAAATTGGATATATAAATGTATATATTGATTTATACATCATTATATAT